AACAGCGTCACAACGGCATTTATTGTTTAAATACTGCAATACAATGGACAGCATTTGAAATCTGAGACTTTGTTTCATATTAAAAGTACCAAAGCGCGATTCTTATTGCGATTTATTGGACGGGAAGTGCCTTTTAATGTTTTTTTTTTTTTCAATTTATTTTTATTTCGAACTATTAAAAATACAAAAGGAAAAAAACATCATAAATACCAATAAACAAAAAAAAAATCAACAAATATAAATTATTATTATTATTTTTTTTTTTTTTACATATATTCAACCTGTTCGAAATAAAAAAAAGGGTAGGTAGAAGCACTAGGCTTATTAAATCCTACCCTCAGTAATTACCAAATCACAATCAGCCATAATAAATTAGACATACCATTTTGAATAATACAAAAATACTAGTCCAAATTATGTCCTACTTTATCATTTATTCAAGTCAAACCACATTTTTATCTTATTCATTTCTGCTGTGACCACCTCCAAAAGCTGCTGCAGATTTTCCCCAGCACAGAAAATATTAGTATCATCAGCAAAAATCACAAATTTTAAGAGATTTGTCACCCTACATATGTCATTTATATACAATATAAATAAATTTGGACCCAAAATCGACCCCTGTGGGATGCCACATGTGATATCTAAACACTCTGATCTATGTTACCCAATTTGTACGAATTGAAGTCTGTTACTTATGTAACTTTTCATCCAATCAAGTACAACCCCTCTGATACCATAATTTTCCAATTTATTGATTAATAAACGGTGATCAATTGTATCAAAAGCTTTTTTTCAAATCTATAAATACTCCCACTGCATAGTTCATATTATCTATAGTACTAGTAATATTTTCAATTAACTCCATTAATGCCATGGATGTGGATCTGTTCGACCTAAATCCATACTGACTATCAACTAACAATTCATGCTTTTCCATAAAATTTTCCAGTCTATTAACGTACAATTTTTCCAATATTTTAGAGAACTGACAGAGTAGAGACAATGGCCTATAATTAGTAAATTGATTTATTTCTCCAGCTTTGTATAATGGAATGACTTTGGCCATTTTCATTTTACTTGGAAATACACCTGTTTTAAAAGACAAATTACAAATATAAGTTAACGGTTTAACAATTGCCCCAATGATTTCTTGATTAAAGCCATATCAATGTCGTTCCAGTCTGTGCACTTTTTATTCTTCCATTTGCTAACAATTTCAATAATCTCCTTTTCGTCAGTTGGTTTCAAATACATAGAATTAGGATTATTGTCTAAAAAATCCATAGCCTTCACCTCTCCTATTACTGTCGATTTTCAATTCCCTCTGCTAATCTTGGTCTGACACTTACGTAAAAGTTATTAAACCCATTAACCACATCATTCATGTTGCTTACAGTCCCCTCACTATCTATAAAATACTGAGGATATTCTATACTCCTTGATCCATTCCTGATAATATTATTTAACACATTCCATATTCCCTTCATATCATTTCTATTTTCATTTAATATTTTATTATAATACTCTTTCTTACTTATCCTCATAATACTAGTCATCTTATTTTTATATCTTTTATACTTATTATCAGCTTCAATAGTTCTGTGCTTTATAAATTCTCTATACAAGGTATTCTTTTTTTACAAGCATTTTGTAAGCCCTTTGTCATCCATAGTTTCTCATTAAATGTATTCTTTCTTTTTTTTTAAATTGTTTTAAAGGACATTGTTCATCATATAAAGTTTTAAATATCACCAGGAATGTTTCATATGCTTTATCAGTATCAGTTTCCTCATACAATTTTTCCCAGTTATGTTTAAATAATTCACTTCTTAATTTATTGATTGATTCCACTGTTCTAATTCTCCTGTAACTAATTACATTAGTATCTTTTAACTTCACATGATCGCAAGCACACATTATAAAAACTGGTAAATGGTCACTTATATCATTAAGTAATAACCCACTCTTTATACTATTATCCATTCTGTTTGTGAATATATTATCTATTAGAGTTGCACAGTGAGATGTTATTCTGCTTGGTTTAGTTATTAGTGGGAAAAAAACTCATACTAAACATTAAATCAATAAACTCATCAATCAGTTTATGGTTGTTGGGATTTAAGCACACACCACATATAAACACATCTTTATGATATTTCTTAGCAAATAACCTTTCCATAGTATTCTTAAATATTTCGATATTGGAACCAGGAGCTCTATATACACAACTTTTAATAAAATTTTTCCAGAATAATTTCTACTGTTATAATCTCCATCTCATTATCAATATTAGTCATATTTTTCAAAATTGTATAATTTAATCTCCTGTCCACATACAAGGCCACTTTTTTATTCTCTCTAGTAATGTAATTCAGTTCATATCCATTCAACTCACAATCCACTCCCTTCTCATTACTAAGCCAGTTCTCAGATATGGCTATCACCTGGAATGGTTTGTTTAGACGACTTAAGTATTCTTTAATATTGTGAAAATTTGCATATAAGCTTCTGCTATTAAAATGAATAATTGACATTCCATGCACAAATTTTACGTTCATATTAAATTTATCTTCAGAGTAATAACAGCAGTTGTTATTTATATTGTTAAGAAAATTATTTTCAGGGTCAATATCTTGTTCAAAATCATGTAAATTATGATCAGTGAATTTAAATGTTTTAAAGTTCCAACCTTCACACTCATCGTCACTCTCATTTCCAGCAGTTATCAAGTTTGAACAGTCAAGCTCTTCTATAGTGTCCATATACATTTGAGTTCACGTCAATAACATGCATTGATATATACACGTTCTTTGCCTTAGAATTTTGCATGTTCCCGAGTCACTGGTACTTATCCAGCTCCTCAATATATCTTACAGTCAGGACTCTGGCCTCCTCCGGTGCCCCATTAAGCTTTATGTACACCTTACAGTCTGTTGTCCAGGTTGACTGGATTTTCTTCTGCTTCCTTAGCAGGCGAGCCCTTCTTGCTATGTCTGCATTCCTTTTTGTTAGATGCTCATTTATATAAACATCTGTACCCCTGAGTTTTTTCCTTTGTCTGAGCAGGACATTTTTGTTTTTCCTGTTGTTAAAGCGAATTATTGCGGTACTCCAAGCTAGCAATCTTCTTATCCTTCTCCTCAGTTTGTTTTTTAAGTTCTTTTATTTCACTCATTAAATCCATTATCATTTTTTGCTGCTTCGAGACAGTCGCAATTTCCTCAGACAGAAAATCAAGCGATTTCTTTATGTCTTCGATTTCCTCGTTCTTTTTTGGTGGCATTTTTATCGTGTTCACCCTCTAGTATATAGCATGCAGCCACAGAGACGTCAGGTGTCCGCTGGCTTCCATCCACCAACACCAAGTTAGTTAGGAAACTCTCCCCTTGGCAACAGGCCCAAAACAATAATTTTGGACTTGGGGTGGCGAGACAGAAGTAACTGTGCAATGGCCAATATTCCTCCTGCAACTTGATCCGCAGTGTGCTCGGTTGCACGTGCACGCCAACCGCAGAGTTTCCGTCAAATGATGTTTCATGTGAAATTGAGTCAAAAATGTGCTCAATTGTGTTTCATATACAGTATGCATATGGAGAGGCTACACACTCCAAGCCAAGTGCATTCATCATAACTCATTCATCACCAGGGACTGATATAAAAGGTTACCCATCGTTGCCCCTCATACAGAGCTAGATGGGCATTGTTAATAGAGCCCAAGCATTGAAGGTGAACATAAATCTAAGACAGTATGTGGCCTCTAGTAATATGTTGTTTTGTCTTCAATCTTTGTGTTCTTGACTGCAGCATGATGCGGTTGATTGAGTTCATTTGCAGTTTATTACAGCACTGGAAATTATAGGAATTTATCCAGCTTTGGTACTCTTTGGCATCGCTGACAGAGCATGAGAGCGGAGCTGTAGTGCAGTTAGAAATGCCTTCGAGACGCAGTTTAATTTTACAACAACACATCCATCTGATTGGTGGTAGGAGGGAGTTCACTGATGTTGAAAGTAGTGTGTGCATGTATAGCTGCATGAAAGCAAGCATGAAATGCACTTCAAACTTTGATTTATCTAGCTGTTTTTGTTTGTTTATGTGATACAGAAATTAATAATGGTTAAAGAACAGATGCAGCATTAACACTTTCCTATTAATCAGAATCACACAGACGTTTTTTATCAGCTCTGACTGCTCCTCTTTTTGGGTGGCAAGAGGCGGTGCGTCAGTTTTTCTCAGCTTTGAGCTGGAGAAATTATAATTATGCTTCTCCAGATGGCTTGCATATTGTGTTGCTGTTGGCGGACCTTGAAAGAGCTTTCGTCTTTATCACGCAATAAAATCATCTCTGTGAACAGACACGTCAAACTTAAAGACGCAGCCATAATAACATCTCTAGAGGTCTACGCGTTTACTGCCGCCAGCCCTCCTCTTTCAAAGCGTAAAATGAGAGTGACACTGATGATGCTCGCGAGAAACTGAGAAACTGTGACTCGCTCTTACTGTTAATCCTGGCGGACAATGCCATGAAAAGCCCAAGGGGGAAGATGTATGAGGTCCTTGTCCTTATCAGCTCAGCAGGCTCTCAGAGGGCAGAGCGGTTGTGGCGCCTCCACTGATCACTAGTGCTCACCCACCCGTCCTATTATCATGTGTGCTCACTGATATAACAGTGACATCAATCTGCCGTCAACCAGACCATACCTGTGCCAAGTTAAACAATCAAAGCCGTGCATAAGGTGCCCTGTGAACTCACACACCCAAGCAAAAACACATGGCCGCACATTTCTCTCTAGGGGAGAGGAGTTCATTTGGCAGGCAACCTGTCATGATTTGTGCATGTCATTTTTCTCACCAACTTGCTGTGCTGGGAGTTTTTACAGACCTTGCACTTTTTTGATAGAGGGGCAAACATTTCGGCTCATTCCAGACCGAGCACAGACCGACTGCTAGCTTTGCGTGAAACAGCAGCTTTGAATTTAGAAGCTGAAGTCCTATTAAGCATCTGGTCACAAGGTAAGTCTGCATAAGTAATTTGCATCTAATACAAACATCATGTCCGTTTTGAGGCGATATGTGGGTTTCTTTCTGCAGTAATACTCCTAATACAATTTTCAGTAGGATTATGGCATAATTAAATCACTGGCTCTGTGTGTTTTCAGGGATATGAAGCTGGTTGCAGGGTTAGCCGTGCTGTGGCTGTGGGTTGTGGAGGCCGTGGAAAACTGCCCTGATGCTTGTAAATGCAGCCAGAAATCCAGTACGGAAAAGACTGAAGTCAATTGTCAGAGGAAGGGACTTGAGAGCATCCCACCCAAACTCCCTCTGGACACATGGATCCTTAAAATGGGTGAGCAGACTGCAAACCTTTTTGTGGGGAGGAAACATTCTCAGTAATAGTACTAACCCTCATAACAAACTATAAGGAACAAGATTTATATTAAAATAAACATTTCATATCATGGATCTTCATGTACAGTAGCCATATTCCACTGCATAACCATACAAAAATGTGCTTTTTTGTCTTTTGAAATAAATAAATACTTTCATTTAGCTAGGCTGCATTACATTGATCAAAAGTGACAGTGACAGTAAATTTGAAAACTTTTTATTTATCAAAGAATCCTGAAATAAAATGTATCACAGTTCCCACAAACATATTAAACCGCACAACTGTTTCCAACATTGATAATAAAAAGATTGTTATTATTGTTTCTTGAACACTAAATCAGCATATTGTAATGATTTCTGAAGGATCATGTGGCACTGAATTTAGTAGTAGTGGCTGCTGGAAATTCAGCTTTGCTGTCACAGAAATAAATTATAGGCCTATTTTGAAATATATTAAAATAGAAAACTGTTTTGTATTAAATTGTATTAATATTTCAAATATTACAGTTTTTACTGTTTTTGATCAAATATAAAATATATATTTTAGGTCTGTCAGTTGAACGCGTTAACAGTTAATTAGTTATAAGTGATTAAAATAGTTAGCACAGTTAACGCACTGGCCCCGCCCCCAGACCTGTACATCATCTCACATTTCATATACTGTTGACAAAATATGATGCAGGGCAACAACTCCATAAATGCAGTTATCCCCTAAAATTCAAGATATTGGTGCAAAAATGTCCCTTTACGTGTTTTTGTCTCATATTTATATCACGAGTTTAAATGTGATTTTATACAACAGTTCAGTAAATAAGAAGTTGATATTGTGTTAAATTTTAAACACAATATTGTGTTTTTTCTCAATTTTGCAAAGAATGGATTACCTTTAAAGCCACAGCAGAACTATCGTGCGTCTTCGAGCAACACAGCCTTATTTAGTTTCTGAATGAATCCGCGTTTTGAACGAATCGTGTGAATCAATGATTCAGTAGCCCATGCATAGAGAGAGCCGTTTACGTCATTCCTGAATGAATCAGCCGTTTGAATGAATCGAATGAAGACATTTACCTCCACCTGCTGGCAGTTTTAGTTTCTTATTTAGAGTATAATTTAATTCATTCATTAATAATAATAATAATAATAATAATAATAATAAAAATAAAAGCATTAAAGGGATGGTTCACCCCCAAATTTTTTTTATTCTGTTATCATTTACTCTCATTTTCCTCATGTCGTTTCAAACCTTTCTTTTGTGGAACATAAAAGAAGGTATTTTCAAAGACTATAGAATACCGTTAAAGGGACTTTGGTATTTTGAAGACTGTTGGTAACAAAGCTGTTTTGGTTACCGATGACTTTCATTGTATGAACAAACAATACTGAGATGTTTCTCGAATTATCTTCTTTTATGCTCTATAGTTTATGTTAGGCCATTGTAGCCTAAATGTTTATGTGTAATAAATTTTTATGTTGAATTAAATAAAATATTTCTAAAGCTACATTTTGTAATGTCTGCTTGATACTTTCTCATTTAACACAAAAATATCTTGAAATAATCTTTTGTGGATATTTTCACAGTCAAATTAATTTTGCGATTAATTAATCGAAACATCATGTAATTAATTAGATTAAAATTTTTAATCGTCTGACAGCCCTAATATACAGTATATATATATATATACATACATACATATAACAATGACAATTTTGAAAATACACTGAAGCAATGTACACTTAAAGGAAATTCAGTATTCCTATGTTTTACAGTAGTAATTATGACAATAATTATGGTAATTTGATGGTTACTATGGTTACACTGTTAGTCCATTAGTTATTATTCCTGACCTAGAGCTCAGACCCAAACCTCTCACTTGGATTAAAACTTGTGTAGTAATTTGTGTGGTATTACAGTGAAGAATGGACAAGTTAAACGAATGGTATTCTTTTAATTGAATAAGTATATTTTTACATCTTCTGAAGAAAATGTAGATGACAGCCATCACAATAATACTAGGGTGTTATGAATGGTTCCAAGGCCATTGCTAAGGTGTTTGAAATGGATATTAGAGCATTACTAGAGTGCTCTGTGTGGTTGCTAAGGACTTGCTAGGGTATTTTGGGTGGTTGCTAGGTGCTTGCCTCAAAAGTGCCTTAACATACCCCCAACTCTCTATGATATTCTGGTCTCTAGCTAAAGCTCTGGTTCATCATTTAAAATCTATGTAAATCAGCAGCAGAATTTGAGGTATTGTCTTTATATAGAGTGCAATGGTGCCTGTCTACTTTTTCAGCTGTATTTTTCCCCTAGGTTTCTCCTATAAGTTATTCATTAAAAAACAATTCCCCTGTGGAGAAAATGAATGGGATTTTTACTCCTGGAACTCGACTGTTGTACTCTGTTTACCCTTAGTCTGAGCATGATGATGTTTACTTCAGCACAACTTATTAAACCCACCTCTTTCGCTTCCTTTTGTTTCTTCATTTTCAAGGTGAAAATGTATTGCAGGATCTCCCAGGCAACATCCTGAGCTCCGTCCCTAAAATTGAGAGCGTAAACTTAGAGCGAAACTCAATCAAATCAATTCACCCTCAAGCATTTTCTGGTGCCCAGCGACTGATGCTTCTGAATCTGCAAGGAAACCGAATGTCCAAACTCCCAGTGAAGGGCTTCAAAGATCTCCTAAACCTACGCTTTCTCATGCTGGGCCAGAATCAGATAGCTAGCCTGAAACCTAACATGTTCATTGGCATGAGGAACCTCTCAGAGCTGGATCTCCCCCTGAACGCCCTCACTGCTCTCCCACCAAATACATTCAAGCCTCTGATTGCCCTCAAAGTCCTGGATCTAGCCTTGAACCACATCCAAAGCATCTCACCCAAAGCCTTTGTTGGACTTGACGAGCTGCTTTTTCTCAATTTGGACAACAACAAGCTGAAGAATATCCAAGATGGGACCTTTGCGTCCATGATTGGTCTTGAGATGCTGGTGCTAGACAACAATTTTCTCTCCACAGTTACTGCGGCTACGCTAGAAGGTCTTTCCAACCTGCAGGAACTCTATGTGAGAAAGAATAAAGTTGAGAGTCTGCCAGCTGACGTGTTCCGCCACACACCGAAACTTACTCACGTGGGCTTAAGTGGGAATCGGCTTCATGCCATTGACGGAAACATGCTAGCCAACATGCAGGGTAAGAATTAGGACTAGTATGTGGGTTGCCTGAATGACTAGTTGGCTATCAGTTCTAAGACAACCAAAAATTATTAGACTAGTTTTAGGTTCCTCTGACCCCGATCAGACTCGCTTCTTAGGGGCTATTGACATAGCTTATGCATTCATCTAGACCAGAGATGCTCAAACTAGAGGCCATGGGCCAAAGTTGGCTGGTGATGACCTTTGATTTGGCCCACATTGTCGTATCACAAAAAACAAATAGGAAAAAGAAGAAAAACACATACAAGAATATCTTCTTTTTTTAGTTACCATTTTTATTTGAAGTTTTTATGAATGAAGAATATCATTGATTTAAAAATAATAATAATATAGCTAGATATAAAGCAACATTTACTTTTGGCCCATGACCCTCAAACAAGTTCGCTTGAGCTGTAGTTGAAAATTTGTATAATTTTATCTTAAAAATGCAACTCTAAATATATCAAAGCTAAAAATAAATGGAAAAATCAAGCTTGATTTTTGGCATTCTGTAGTAAACATTTTCAGTAATTTTGAGCTAGATGGAGTGCAGTGTCTTAAACACTGTCTTAAACATTTTGTCTTAAAAATGCAACTTTAAATATCAAATCTAAAAATAAATGGAAAAAATCTAGATAATCTAATTAGCAGAAAAGAGGATATAACAATATTTTGTGGTCGAAAACAAATACAAATAATTCTTTATTCTTATCTGTTAAGAGTAACGTGTAAAATCACATCTCTGATTGATTCAGGTTTAAAGGAGGTGTTTCTGCATGACAACCCATGGAAATGTGACTGCAGCATCAACTCGCTGTTACATTACGTAGTCCAGACGAGGGCTAATCACTCTCCTCTGCAAAGACTTCGGTGCACCAGCCCAGAAGAGTTTCGTGATAGACCCATCCACCAGCTGAAATCTGATGAACTTCCCTGCAGGGCCTAGAAAATTCTCACATCTGATATCATATCACGAGCGACCTCCAGAAGTTGGGAGCACAGTGTAATAACAGCGTGATATTTTCTGCATTTGAATGGCGATGCTTCACAGAACTCCAACCACAATGGCTTTGACAGGTTAATGATAGAGCTGCTGTTCTGCAGATAGTCATAATTTTCACCCACACCAGTCGACTGGAGAGCAGTACATCCTACAAAACGAAGGAAGAAGTGTGCGCTTGTTTTTCCTTATACAAATGAAATGCCTATTTTGTTAGGTGTTAATAATAATAATATGTTTTCACATTTAACTTAATATTTCAAAAGCTCATGTTATATATTCTGTGTATTATTTATCCAGTGTTTTTTATTGTCCTTCAGCATCTACGTAGAAGACGTTGTCAAAATATAATGTTAGTAGGTGAATAAATAAATAAAATCTTATATCATACAGCAGTTATAATGTCATTAAACCCATTCTTAAAATTATTTATCTATTTGATGTATACACAATAAAGACATTTCGCAGCTTCAAATGATTTTTTGTTAGATGCAGTGAAGCTTAAAGAAATAAATAGAGGTTAGAAAATCCCCACTGCTCAGAGACCGACTGCAAATTCCACCACCACCTGAGACTGAATTCCTCATCGGATTGTTACAGCTGAATAAGCTTCCTTTGAAATCATCATTCTGTCTCTAAATTCCACCCAGGGCGCTGAAACTGCAGTCCCACATACAGGAGTGGGATCTTTTCAGATGCTGGGAAGGTGTTGTTAAAGCAGGCAGCTAAAGCTTATGCTTTGGTATTTTACAGTAAACTGATATTCAATCTAACTGGTGGGACAGCATGTATTCATAGTACATTTAAAAGTAAAAAAAACATTAAATATTAAATTGAATATTTAAATCACACACTGTCACACATTATATACACACACACACAAGCTAAACTACAGTGTTTTTATAGTATAACATAGTGACTGATATGTCATGACACACTATAAAAACACTCAAGCATGCAATGTTTTCACACTCGGATTATTGTGGATATCTACTGTCTAACTTTCAAAACAAAACCAAATTACTGGTGCATTGTGCTTTTTTGCATAACAAGATACTCCTTTAACACCTAATTTCCCCCAGCGTTGCCATGGCGACCGTAGCTTATAGTAGGGAGCTCCTGTGGATGCTTTACCCCTCACTGCATCACCTCCTCAACCAGCTGTTAACGACTCAGCGTCCTCCAACTGCCTCACTTTCACTAGTAGATTTACAATGACAAATTGGCATGATTCTGGCACCAGATAAACAGCTTTACAGCAGCTTACATTAATCAGCTAGAGAACCCCCCCCCCTCACTACATTAGTTGGAATTCCATGGATGAAGGAGATAAATTGTTTGTGCTTGCTGTTTTAGTGCAGTTTTGTATTATTAATGTCATTTGTAAATTGACTCTGCATTGTGGCAAAGCACTGAGATTATGCATCGAGTTAGCAGTAATATAAGCTTAACAAACCATCCAAATTCATCATATTCCATGGATGTTATATCCTTTTTTTAACCCTTAAAAGAAAAGATGGATCTATCCTTTCCTAATATACTTCCAAAATATATATATAGATATATGCTCAAAACGCGAGTCTATTCAAGCTTTACTAAACCCGAATGAATGGACTGCAGTGTTCTTTTAACCTTTTTAATATTTGAATATGATTAAGAAACTAATTTCAGCTCTTAATTAGAAGCATGCTATTTCAAAGGTACAGCCTTTTAAGAATGAAACGCTACACTTGCTTGCTGCTTTTTCTGTTTAAATTTAGCCCAAAATGCCGGAGTTGCCAAAATGGACTGTGATCTGTAATCTTGAGGCTTATTTTCTAAGTGAAACATCCCCACAGCATGATGCTGCCATCGCCATGTTTCACCATAGGTATGGTATTAGCCAGCAGTTGAGCCATTTTAGTCATACTGCTTGGCATTCAGGCTGAAGAGTTTAACATTTATTTCATCAGACTAGAGAATCTTTTTTGTCAGGATCTTAGTCCATTAACTGCTGTTTGCCAAACTCCACTCGGGTTGTTAGTGTTACTTAAGAGTGATTTCTATCTAACAGTTAAACATAATGACTTAATGATTAATGAAACCATATGCAGAGATAGTTTTCCTCCTGGTAGATCCAGCAGGAGCTGTAACTGCCTACAGAGTGTCTAATTGAGTCCCAGGTCACCTTCTCTACATCTACAGCCACTAGTAAAGGCGTATTCTCTTAATTTGTCATTTCCAAAAATGATTTCATTTTCTTTCCATCTGTGTTTCATCATGGTAAAAATCTATACTTGAAAAGTATAAAACTGATGTAGAATATATAAAAATGTAGAAATATAATATCTACTTCCAGACAAACTATAGCAATAAAATAAAGAATCTTCCTATTAAGAATATTTTTTCACCTTCTGTGTTTTGGTCACTAATGAAATGTGTACTAGTATCTGGAAGAGGTGTTAGTGAGGCCAGCAGGGGGTGCTCACACTGTATACTGTGTGGCCCCAGTATAGTGACGGGGACACTATACTGTCAACAAGCACCGTCCTTCGGATGAGACGTTAAACCGAGGTCCTGACTCTCTGTGGTCATTAAAAATCCCAGGATGTCTTTCGAAAAGAGTAGAGGTGTGACCTCGGCATCTTGGCCAAATTCGCCCATTGGCCTCTGATCATCATGGCCTCCTAACAATCCCCATATCTGCGTATTGGCTTCATCACTCTGTCTCCTCTCCACCAATAAGCTGGTGTGTGGTGGGCATTCTGGCGCACTATGGCTGCCGTCGCATCATCCAGGTGGATGCTGCACACTGGTGGTGGATGAGGAGATCCCCCCCCTCACAATGTAAAGCGCTTTGAGTGCCTAGAAAAGCGCTATATAAATTTTATGAATTATTACATTAATAACATTATTTAAAATTTAGTATGGATTGTTGTTTAAAAAAAAATCTGTCATTTTCTCACTCTCATGTTGTTGCTAACTGACTTTGTTCTGTAAGAATATATTTTGAGAAGTCAATGGGCAACTACCAACATTCTTCAAAATATCTTCGTTTTTGTTCCATATAGAAAGAAAGTCATGCAGGTTTGGAATGACATGAGGGTGAGTAAATGATGACAGTTTTCTTATTTTGCGCGAACTATCACTTAAAGACCAAGCAATGTTACAATAAGGAATAAATACTCATCAAATAAGACATTATGTTAAAGCATAGTGTTTGTGTTAATGCAATTCTCAAAAGTCATGTTTTTTGACTATAAAGTTTAAAATAAGCACCTTGGGAAACAATTCTCTGCATTGATGATGAACACTGTTCGTTGAAGGAAAAAACATTAAAGGATGTTTTGTAGGTGCAGAGAAGTCTTTCATGGGTTGTGATGATTACAGCACAGTAAAATACAACAGTGTGTTCCTCTGGATCCTCTGTTTGTAGAAAAAGATACTAATGATGTGACTTGTGTAAAAAAAAAAAAAAACTCCCACTGACTAGCGGCAATGGACTTTTCTTTTTGAGTGCTGTATTGTAAGTCACACTGTAGCTTAAGTTTAAATGTGAAGTTTAAGCATGTTCACATAATGGAATGAATTGTTCAGGCACTTAGGCTAAAAACGAATCCTTTTAATAAAAAAAGTAACATTTGAAGACAAAAGTGTCATATTTGATCAAAATCAATAGTTGGGCTTCATAGTAATGTCTCTAAATGAATGCAGTGCTGCTCATGTTGTCATACAGACCAGTGTTGCCAGATATTCTTCCGTTTGACATTCTGATGGCTGACGTCTCTTTGAAGGAGCAGTTCAGGGTTAAGAGCAACTATATTAGTGGCTATATTAAATGAAGGCACTTGACTTGCCTCATGACTCATTGACTTAATCCTTAGACTGCCGTTACATAAAATACTGGCTCTCTAACAGGCCCTGACGGCTTTAGCAGAACTTCAGCTGAGATTTTCTTATCTGTTTTCAACTTCGAAGCTTGGCAAATGTTATATGATAGAGGTGTTATGTTAATTTTATCCAAGTCTTGCTGCAACTGTGTGGTTGTCAGGTGGTATGAACTCTTTTTTTGGCTCTTGGTTTAGCCTATATTAGTCTTAGATTGACTGGTTGTCCTAAAGATTCTGTGTACCAAATGACTTTAAATTATATGTTTATTAATATGTTGCTCATTGGTATTTACAGTTAGATAAAGGGACATTTCAGATGAACCAGTAAAAGTATAGTTAAATAAAACTTTAATGATTTTCTGTGTGCTTAAATGAGTGTGGATTTATTCTATCTGGGAAGTCTTAGCAGAGAGATTGTCAGTGATTGTTGTGTTTGTTGGAGATGCAACATTGAGACTCATAGTACTCTCCAGGGACTGTCCGTGGCAATTGGATGTTCCTTAGGACGTCATAAAAAACAGCACAGATTGTTAGAAGAACACAACAGCTCTGCACCTAAAATAATCTGTCAACATCTCTATAACTTTTTGGGCTAATTACTGTAATATTTTTGTTAGTATATAAAGTATATAATATAAAGTCTACTCTCATGTCTGCCTGAAAGCCTAACTTGTATCTTCTCCGCTCAGATGAGACCCAGATGAGGCTTTCTCTAAGGAGTCTTCCTGCTCTGTTTCATGCGACTGCCTGTGTTAGGGCCTTATTATCAGAGTTAGGAAAGAGAAAATCTCCTCGCAAACACCACACTGGTCTTGAACATCATCAGTAAGAGCAGAGTACTAATAATGCTGTTTACAGACTGCTCTGTCTGCAGAAAAAAACTCTTTATTTCAGTATCTTTGTCTTGTTTTCCAGCAAATAGAATATTAAAACCAAATAACTCTATGCATCATAAAAACTTGACTGAATTAAGGTTAAGTTTGTCTAAATCTAATTTCTTTTCTTAATCCGTTCAATTAATCAACTGAATTTGTCAAAGGGGTCAAAAAAATCTCTGGAAACAAATAATAATATCTTACGCAACTAAACTGATTTTGTTGTAAGGATGTTTAGATATTTTCACTGAAAATAAGACAAAAATACTGATTAAGAAAATAATTTGTTGCTGGGTGCTACATGCAGTTATATAAAAAGCAGACTTCTGTTCTAAAAACTGAGGTGAAGTGTATCTGGTGAAACAGAGATATGGTTTCTAATGGTGCACTGCTGTTATATGCAAGGTGGCAGGTGTGTTTACATTTCAAGCGTAAGAAGATTTGTGTGCACCCCCTCACAGGTGCTTTCAGGGCTGTCAGTCACAGGCAATGAAAGCGTGCACATAA